TAACTAGACAAAAATAATTTTGTAATAACTTGTGAATGGTGCCAGCAATGGCAAATAATATTGCAGTTTTAACGTTTATATTTAGTCTTTCGCTGCGAGTCTTCACTTAACATACATGCATTTGTACAAATAATGCAAAACAAAGGTTTAGAATTTGTACCAACATACCTTTAAATGGCGATTGTTCACATGATTTGGATCCCCAAACACCCAAAGGAATATGGATTTTTGAGGATCCAAATAATGTGAACAATCGCCATTTAAAGGTATGTGGGTACAAATTCTAAAACTTGATCTCGTTACTCAAATAGATGAATGCCTACATGACCTGTGTGAATTTTAATATAATAATCATCATAAATATTCAAGATAATTGTTTATTTTCATCATATGACATATTTATTTTACAGTGTGTTACACAGACAATATTCATACTGCAATCATGTAAGTTGCATTGAAATGGTATTTACATCCTGATTGGTCGGTAGATCTAACTGCAATACATTTATTTTGACATACTCACCTCACACCAACCCCCACTCCAACCCACCCCGAACACACACACACACAAACGCCACTCAGCAATGAATAATTTTAAAGCAATTAGCTTACTTCCGCTACTATTACTACTACTACTACTATTTATAATAATAATAAAACCAACAACAGCAAATGTCTTATTTAATATTTTATAATCTGAATATAATCAATAACACATACCAAGAAAGTGATGAACATTTAAAACTTATTTTAGAGCTATTCTTTACTTGCTTAATTGCTAAATTACTTGGAAAGAATGTACGAAATATTTATTATACACGAAATAACAAAATATTGGATGACTATCTTGATGTCATAAATAAAATATGAAATGCACAAAGCAAGAATAAAACAAGAGGGTAAGGTAAGTAACGACTGGAAACCACCGCACCAATGCATGAGATATGAATTTTTTCCGTCTAATATTTGCAAAAGGTTATTTCTTTTTAAAATTCCTTTCTGTTTGTTCGTTTTTGTATAATAATTAAATGAGCTCTAAAACATACAACCTTTATGATAAGTAAACTAAAATAAATAATATAATCAAGCTTACCATTTAAAAAAACAAAACACTTTTTGTTGGCTGAATAGACTAAATGTATGACGGAAAACGCAGCTGAAATGTATCATGTATCTTGTTTGTATAAATAGATTAACGAGGCAAGTTTGTTTTGGATGTTTTTAAAAATTATGCTATTAAATACGATATTTATTTATTAATTAGTTTAATAATATATTCATTTATCATTGCGTTTATTTACATTTTCTACGTCTATACCAGGAAACTGTTATCAAAAGTTGATACATGACTATTCATTTTATTTCCAGATGATAACTTTTGTTTAGTCTAGCAAATTTCCGTCGTACTTATAAAATCGTTGCAAAATTAATTCGTCATGGCTAATTTATCCTATTGTATAAAACTCTTAGATCCAGAGAAAACATAGCTAACTAGTTCAGACTCATAGACTGTTGAGAAAACACTTTGTAATTACCGACAGGATGGCAATTCAAAATTCAACCTTTCCTCGAAGCTGCACGTTGGGCTTACAGCTAACAGCTGTCAACATGAAAACCATTGACCCACATGTATAATCGTAACTAGCAAATAAGTATCTGTGCAATTTCTCTAGTTCTATGTTAACTCAGCATACATATTGAATTACAAGCGAGTGAAAGGAAGAACAATTATGTTCTGTTAAAAACTGAGTTGACATTCGTGTGGCATAACCTAGATAACATGTGTATAAACAGGGTTTAACAAATATAAAGATTGAAAGTGTGCTTGAAAGTTGATTAGTAGCCAATCTGCGATATTTCACTAACAAAAGATCTATAAAACATATCTGTTCACTGACTGCTCATTCCATAACGTATAATAATGAATCCTTTGGTCCAACCGTCAAACGGGTTTGGTATATTTACCTGTAAACGTAAAAACGCTTCAAATTGAGGCGAGGACTCAACAAAACAAGATTAATTACCACATCCTTGAAAATAGACATGCAAAAGGTATTGATAATCTTTCAGATTATTTGATCAAGCTGCAACAAATTTGTATTGTTAATCTGATCACGTAATATGGACTGAAAAAAAAATCCATAATATTTTCCTGAATAGAGATTTAGCAATGCAGACCATCGATTTATTCGCGTTGTTAGTAATTGATATGAGAATGGCGCATGGGTCTCTCATGAATCCTTTCATAGCTCTGTTACCAGAGTTTCAAAGTCTCAATATAACATCGAGGTTTTGATACTTTCCAAAGATAGCTTGGGTCGGCCACCTACGTGTGGCCTTTGGACAAAAACTTAGCGCTCATTTCCGGAAATGATACAGCGATTTTTTTTTAAATTTTGCCGTTAAAACCAAAACTACTGTGGAGTAAATTATACTATAAACGCTATACTAACTAATTAAAATACTATTTTTGGTATGCGTAATACAGCATATTTGTGTCAGTAATCGTTATTATATTTAAGATAAATGCCAGAACATTTTTCCTGATTTATCGATACTATATACAATATATATATGACATAATCGTTTTCTGATTGTATATTTTCTAAATGTGATGAGAACATAGAAACATTATTTAATTTTGTGATACGTAATTTCTCAATGTGGTGTTTTGAGAGATTATATTACTTCTTGATTGCAATCATACTTTCTTATCTTTTTCAATTTATGTTAATGTTACTTCATGGATATAAAACATATCACGTTGATTATATGTTTGCACGTTAAGAGGAAACTAAAATTATTACTACACAATTTTACTCTTGTATATCATCTTGCAAATTCCTCCAAGCAAATCTATCATGCAGGAGTCCAGCATTTTTCACAGATTGTCAGTTTGCTCTGTATACCGGGGCGGAACATCATTTGTCCAATTGTATAACCTATTTGGAAAACAAAACTGTTCCATGACAGGTTCTATTCTTCATACTGAAATTCTCAGAAGATATTGCGATCGAAACACATTTAAGAAATGTATGGGAAAACTAAATACATTTCTAAAGAGCCGAAAACTGAAATTGTTTGGACACATGGCAGAACAGATTATTTAGAGAACGCGTTATTCACATATATCAAAGCTGTTATTCTGTCAGAAAAATAGAGAACTGTTCTCATTGGTTAATTTGTGTCACTCAGCCATAAGTCTGCTCTCCAGGAGCCTAAAACGCAACTATACTGTAATTGAAAGAAGAAATGAAGCTCAGAGAATATTTTAGGGAAGATGCTGGACATCACAGCTCGTTACTAATGAGCCTCACAGAATCCGCCAAAGAGGTATGTTCCACTCAATATCAAGCTCAAGATCTAGAGGAATTCTTGCCCGCGGTAAAGAATAATATAAATTTTCACCAACTAACCAATGCCAAAAGACAATCGCAAAATATGGAAGATAATGTTATGAAGCTAACAAACAATATATCATGTGGTGTCGTCATAAATACGCCTGATTACAACGCTGAGGCGATCAGGCAACTTTCGGACGAGACATTTTATATAAAACTATTCAGTCATGATCCAATAGCTGACCACGCTGTAACTGTGTCTTGATCGCCGGGTGAGAGATACCATACGATAACAACTTCGAAAAATGGAAGCAAAAAAACAAGAATAATGAGGATAAGCACATGGTTGAAACAATGTTTAGTCTCTCATGACCCGCAGCCTACATAGTGCATGAGCAACATGTGTTACCTGATCTGCATATGTCGTTCTATCATACTACATTAAGTGCACTCGGCTTTTCCGAAAGTGTTTATCTTGAACAATCAAATATAATAACTTCATCAAGTTCACAAAGGAATAAAATTACCAGAACAACAACATTATATTAAATGAGTTACTATATTAGATGCTTATTGATTTGTATTCTTCTTTTTTATGAGGATTCTTTGCAACTTGTTTTTATTCAAAATTAATCGGTTTAATAATCTTACTATATAAAACAGTGAAGTGGAAGAGTCTATTTGATTAAGAACATTGAAAATAGTAGTAATAACAATAATAATAATAATAATAATAATAATAATAATAATAATAATAATAATAATAATAATAATAATAATAATAATAATAACAAAGACGTTTATCATCAGGATCGTCATCGAGGAGTACCATTATTCCCGAAAAATGAGGTGTTGGGAGTAAACGACACGGAGATAATTTTTGAAAAGAAGCAAGCGGTGTCAAAATACTAACAACTGCATGCCTCTTTGATAGAAATAAAGACAAATATCAAATAACGCTTTTAGATCAGCACATAACCGCACATCTAAGCTTTAATTGCTACTGATGAATTCTCTCTCTTCAAAAGAAAACAGGAAAATAATAAATTGTTTACATACCTAAATCAAACACCTCGAGGGGAAGGGATGAAAACCATCTAGCACTTTTCAATAATCTAATACAAATATTAAAAATTTGTCAGAAATATTTGTCAACACTTTGATCAAGGCAATAAACCTTATCTATAGCGTTAGAAACTTTGTCGTCCATTATGTAGGTATACAGTACAGTGAAAACTCATAATTGAATCTATTAAGCAGCTTTGGCTATGAATAAGCTTCTATACTAAAATAATGGGATTAAATTTTATTAGAAAGACGGCACACTTTGTTTATTTTTCTTTTAAATTAAGGTAACATAGAGCATGCCATTTAGTTTGCCGTTTATTCAATCTTTTCTAGTGCATATACGATATTGCACAGTATCGCTCTGACGTATTTGTATTGATATGATTCGAAACATGGAAAGTAGAGTAGGAATCTTACCTCTCTTTACTCTTTGTGTGTGTGTATGTGTGTGATTTAGAACTTTAAAGTAGCTTTAATAATTGTTAATACCAATTTTATCTCTTTGATATGACTCTGCCTGAGTTTTAATCATCTACTTCCCGCATCCTAGGTGGACGCTCTAACCACTAGACTACCAGAGTGATATATACCGTTCCTGTGGCCTAGTGGTTAGAGCGTCAGCCTCGGATGCGGGAGGTCGTGGGTTCGATCCCTGGTAGAGTCATACCAAAGACTTACAAAAATGGTACTAACAGCTGCCTCGCTTGACCCTCAGCATTAGGAGGTTAGTGTTAGGACTGGTCGACCTGCTGTCAGGATAATGTGACTGGGTGGGACATCATGCTACATGTCTGCGGCATGATGCCCCAGTGATATACATCACTATAAACTGCCACACTGCAGACATCGTAGCGATATGACTGAACAATTGTTAAAGTTACGTTAAAATTTATAAGCACCATAAACACCACCACCACCAGAGTGATATCTCGCTTTACTAATACTACCCTTGTGAGCCTATGCGCATTTAGAGGGTTAATGGTTGGGGGACAGGAACTTGGTGGAGCAGCTGTTATCTTTGTCGGGAACCGCTCGGTTTTTAGAAGCCACCACTATCAACATCACCCACCTGACGCGCCAGTTGAAGTAAATGTTTTTGCAATCTTTAAAAAAAATATTTGAAAGAAATTTGAATAACAGATTATAATGCTTTGTGATTAGTTTTATACGACCTCAAATGCTTGAAACATTTTTTGCGCTACTATAAAACGTACTTCCTAACGCTGCTGCGGTAGTTATACGGAGCAGAAATTAAACCGAATATGCCAAAAACAATATTTAAAAAACAGGGAAACATCTTATCAGTTTTGCTCAGCTAAAGGCAAAGCATTCTATTGTAGAGACTTGTGTGGAAAAGCATGCAATCTGATGTCATGAGTCCAGACAAATTTCTATTTAGCGGCTTGTGTAGATGAAAATGAAAACGGATTCTAGAGAATACAAAAAAAACTAAAAGTGGAGGAAACATTTCAGAAGCTTAATGACTTATTCTTTCCAGAACTTTTCTACCCCCGAATCTTACGCGATTCGTGTGCCTGCTTTTACTGAGAGGCTCGCTTTCCCACTTGTGAAAGGCAAATGAAACTAAATTTCACTTGTCAAAAGCAAGCGAGGATAAAATTTGAGTGGTAAGATTCAAAACTAAATTTGGGTGATTAACAGTAGACATATTGATCAAATATACTTTAAGGAAATAGGGTTGAGAGCAGGAAATATTTCAGAGCTTTCATTGTCTTATTCTGAGGTATCAAGGTGAGTTTTCTGAGAAAGATTAGTACATGCAATTTGTGAACAACTTAATATACATGCATGCCTTATTTAGCTTCATGTCTATATCCTTGATATATCAAAGGTTTTCAAAGTTGAAAATGAACAACAGACCTCCTAAAACGCATTAAGATTATGAAAACTAATAATAAATATTAAAATACTCACATTCAATGAAGTCAATACCTTCTTCCTGTCGGAATGTTCTCGAATATAAATCTCTATTAAGAATCCATCGTACAGCGACACATGATGAATCATAGGAAAGTTCGTATTTCAATCTTCCTTATCCGCCACACACACGCTCTGTAAAACTCTGGAATTATACGAATCGTGCTCACATGTCTTATTCAGTGATCGTCTTGGAAAATGACCTGGAATGAGCTAAAAAGGTCGACCCGCAGAATGTATAATCAAAGGAACTACTCCGAAGATTAACTTTATTCAAAGAGGATACTTTAAAACATACTTAATATGTATCGGTGTAGGATAGGAAAACTTTCACCCAGTGATAAGTATTCAGCGTCAAACACCAGACATTGTTGAGTGTCATTTGAACTGTCTCAATCAGCAAAACACCAACTGAAAATGTACTATTCTCCAAAAGATAGCAGGTAGATAGCCATGATGACACCGAACATTTATGCATTAAATGACTTTTAGTTTAGAGTTGAATTAATATTGGTTGAGACCTCAGAGGTAATAGCAATAAACAACGTGCAAAATGTGTGCTGTAGATTAGCTTGGACACTGATACATGTTTTAACAGATCAAAGATAAGTCTTTTCTTATCCTTAATATTCATTGAGACAGAAAACAATAATTATTTAGTCCTATAATCAAATTTTGATCTTAAGTTCATTTAATGATAAAGAGAATAGAAATTAAACAATGACTGTTTCAATCCAATTCGAACTGTGCACATAAATGGCATGTGAAGCTAGGGCAATCCGCGAAACGCAATGTATAGACTAGTTGCGGAAACTGAGAACGGTGTTTAATTCCCTAAAAGTCTACAAGCCAAAGCGACATCTATTTTTACTTTTTGTACATATGTAACGCAGATTATATCCCGGATATTTGATTCTATACCGGTTATTCTTATAGTAAAAATTGAAGGATAATAAGAAGATTTAGAAAATGTTAAATTCTACTAGTGCATAGTTTTCATTTTCTAGTCTTCTTGGTTTAGACCGCATGGTTTCAAAGTTCTAAGGCGGCGTATCCAGTATGATTCTACCAAAAACTGGACCATGATCCAACGCTGGAATATGCAAAAATCATCACTAATGTTATTGACGAGGCGTACCAAAGCGGACACATAGACCAGCAAACGAAAAACTACTTAAGCCCAGAAAACCCAAGAGCAGGTAGATTTTATCTTCTACCCAAAATCCACAAACAAGGAAACCCTGGCAGACCTATAATCTCAGGTAACGGGCACCCCACAGAAAGGATATCAGAATATTTAGATCATTTTATGAGACCAAATGTCCACAAATTACCATCATATCTTCAAGACACGACAGATTATCTCATAAAAAGCAAAGCTAGTGAACCATTACTGCCAGATACATTACTTGCTTCCTTAGACGTCACATCTTTGTACACCAACATACCGCACAACGAAGAGTTACAGGCATGTAGCGAAGCATGGGAAACAAGAACTGTAAACAATCCACCCACACACTTCTTAGTCCAACTCCTGGAGCTTGTCCTAAAACTCAACAACTTTGAATTTAAAGAAGAAAACTACCTACAAATCAATGGAACTGCAATGGGTACTAAAATGGCCCCGTCGTATCCTAACATTTTCATGGGAAAACTTGAGGGTCAGCTCTTAGCATCGGTTGAGCGTACACCATACCAGTGGGTACGCTTTATCGATGATATAGAAATGAAGTGGCAGTATGGAAGAGAAAGTCTGGATGACTTCATATCAAAGGCAAACAACTTCCATCCTTCAATAAAATTCACGGCAGAAATTTCCAACTCAAACCATGTTTTCCTGGACACAACAACCAGACTGGTGGAAAAAAATTACACACAGACATCTACTCGAAACCAACCAACAAACACCAGTATCTCCTCCCAACCAGCTGTCATCCAAAATACTGCATTAAGAACATTCCATATAGCCAGGCACTGAGGATACGCAGAATTTGCTTCGACGATGAAAGATTCCTAGAAAGGTCTGAAGAGCTGGCTAAACATTTAATTTACCGAGGCTACGACAAAGACCTGATTGCGGAGGCAATCTAAAGGGCCAAACAAACAAATCGTGATGACTACTCAGATATGGACAGAAAGAAAAGGTTGATAGGATACCATTTATTCTGACCTATCACCCAGACAATCCCAAAGTAGGTAAAATCATCGCAAACCACTGGCCAACCGTGCAATCGTCAGACATACTAAACCTAATACTTCCGAACAAACCTGTAGTAGCTTACCGGAGACCAAAAAACCTAAAGGACATCCTAGTCAGGGAAAAGCTAACGCCAATCGCTAGTCAAAACCAACCTAGTCAATCTGGACCCTGTGGCGATAAAAGATGCAAAACCTGTCAACATATGATAGAGACCAAGACATTCACTAGCACAGTGACTAAAGAAAAACTAAACATACATGGTCCAAACAAAACGTGCAAAACAGAGAATGTGATTTATCTCATTACATGTAAGATCTGTGGCCTTCAGTACGTCGGAGAAACTGAAAAGCTACACAAAAGGATAAACCTTCATAGACCTGATTGGATGACAAAAAAGCTGTACAGAAGCCCGGTCGCAGAACACTTCTCCTCCCCTGGCCACACTTTCAGTGATATAATACTTATCGCTATCGCTAACAACCAGAGCTGGAGTTCCGAAACCAGGAAGGAAAAGGAATCATACTGGATACGTCAGTTTATTGTATATATATATATATATATATATATATATATATATATATATATATATATATATATATATATATATATATATATATATTAGACCTATAATTGCTGAACGAAGCTAAAATAAGCGTAATAGTTTGCAAAGTGTATATGTTCTAATGCTATAAATATACAGATGATATCACGTTCCTTAGTTAAGGATCTTCTGTGAATAAAATATCTAGCCGCCGTCAAATGAAAGATAAGCAACAATTATTTTGTAAGCATAATTATTTTTATATATGTGATATATAGCGCGAACTATTTGTGATCGACCAAGTCATAGATAATAATTTTTGTGATTATACCGGTGTCTGTCAAATGTCAGCTGTTTTATATGTATGTATATATATATATATATATATATATATATATATATATATATATATATATATATATATATATATATATATATATATATATACATACATACATACATACATACATACATACATACATACATACATACATACATACATACATACATACATACATACATACATACATACATACATACATACATACATACATACATACATACATACATACATACATACCTGTGTTTGTGTCTTAAGCTTATCTTGTAAGGAACATTTGAGATTAATTCCGCTTTTTATGGTGATACATTTGTTGGATCAAACCCAATTTTGTCGTATGAGTTTATCGACATCAGTTTCAGGTATGTGTTATGCTATGACCCTAATTTTTTAACAAAGTAACGAAAAAGTCCAAAAACCAACACGCTTTGTATAATATTGCAAATAATCTATTTAGTTCTGCTACAAAGAAAAAGTTTCAAAAAGTACGAACACCATTGTAAATTAAGTCCCATGTTGTATTGAAGGTTCCAAGACATGTCCAAATGTATAATGTTTCAATTGAATTTCATTGTTATTCCAGATAAGTTCTAATAACACTAGTCTATAGCCAAAATGCTTTCAAAATAAATGTAGTCAAACGTT